TGCCTCTGATGTCTCTTAACATGACTCAGGCCAGAGGAAATCTGTTCAGAGTGATCCAGTCTTCTAAGGTCACTATTGTCACTTGAAAGCAGTCACCGTTGGTCATCTTTTATGTTTACGAAGTTATTATGGGCTGGGTGATGATGGCACACGCCTTTAATCACAGCACTTGGGAGGCAGAGGCAGGAGGATCTCTGTGAGTTCAAGGCCAGCCTAGTCTTCAAAGCGAGTTCCAAGAAAGGTGCAAAGCTACACAGAGAAACCTTGTCTCAAAAAACCAAAAAAGAAGTTATTATGGAACAAGAGACCAAGGTCAGTGGTCAGATTTCCTAGAAATAAGTCCTGGCATAGCCACATACTACTATCCATGTGGCCTTGAACAAACTATTTAGTTTACCTGTGCCTCAAGATTTCTCTTCCTAAGAGATGCTCATGAAAACACCTTCCATCTTACTGTGGTCTCCAGGGTAAATTTAATGCATGAGAAAGGATTAGGTGGTACTAGAATAGAGTCTAGCTGCACGTTAACCACTGGTATTCCCAGAGACAGTTTCTCTTATTAATTTCTTGTATCCATTTTTCATGGCTCTGCGAAGACTCTCTCAAATGCAAACTCATTTTAAGTTGGAGTTGGGTTTCCTGCAGGCTAGATCATCTGTGGGAGTTTTTGTTTGTTTGTTGTTATGTTTGGCTTTGTTTTAAATCATCCTCAGTTGTCTCTGTATCAGGTTTTTTGTTTTTTGTTTTTTTTCTAATTAGAGAAGACGGGGCTCATGACTTTTACTTTTTCTGGTTTTGTAGCACTTACAACAGCACATGAATATCTGGACAGTTTCCAATTACAACAAGCTGACTGATTAATTTACTATCTCATTAATAACAAGCAAACTAGCAGGAAACTGCCTGTCTACATACCATCTGCTCCTTTCAGTGCACTTGGAAACAGTTCATCGTCATGCGTCAGACGACCCTGGTGTCTCTGCCTGTCCTTTTTTTGCTGCCTGTCATCAAGCTCTTTAGAATTACCCTTCAGGGCAGCTGGAAACAGAGTTCCACTCCCAGCATTCTTAACTTTACCTCACCAAGCAACAACCACCTACA